GTGGCACAGCGGTATGTCTGCGGACTTCCAACGCTAGAAACCGGGTTTCGATACCCGTGGTGGGCAGAGACACAGATAGCCCTTGTGTAGCTTTGTGCATAATTAAAAACATAAAAACACACACACATTATTTCTTGATCACCGATTTATCTGTTTTAGCTTGTGAACACAAAACATCTAATCTGACAGAATTCTAACAATATTCGTTTTCCCAAACGATCACTTCATTTTATAGTAACTGGAGCGTCCTCTTCTTTAATGTAAAAAATAACTCGAATGTAGATCAACTGAATTGATGTAAATTCTTTGCCGAAAGTAATGCTCGTGTAACAGCACGCCTTTGAGTATTTTAATAATAAAAACCGACATCTAACACAAAACAGTTTTTGTTCTTTTGTGCATGAAAATGCTTACAATTCCTTGTCTATCATCATTGTCATCTAGTATCTAATTGCTGCAATGATACGCACATATGTTTTTAATACACAATGAAAATTAACGCGTCGTCGAATCACATCAGTGTTTTTTTATTTTAAGACAATAACATTCCAAAGTAGTTCAAGTATACGCATCTAAAGAACCAATTCAAGGCAGTTATAAAACTTAAAATAAGTATGTTGCATTTATTGAATTTTTTTTATTTGTTAGTTAAGCAATGGAACTATGAAAAGAGGGGGAGAAAGACAATATTCAGATATATTTTCATAAGTCTGCTAGAGCTCAAGAACTTATCAGAAGCAACAGTGTTGTACTTACAAAATTCAGGATAGAGTTACATCTTTGAAGGTTACCATACAAACATGTGGTGAGTCACTCGAAACCCGAAGCTGTGTGAAATGGAACACACTACGAAATGGGTTAATATATTGTCAAAGAGTTTATATTGACAGACTCGTACGATTAGGGGTAAAAAATAAACATATTCGGATTTTATCAACTACCATAACACCCTGCATTCAAACTCAAAGTGACGATCTTTTACGTAAATTTTAGGTGGATCATAAGATTAAGATTAGTCACGTGGTTTAATTAAGGTCAGTTTCTAATGTACTAGCTTTATCTCTTTTAACACGTTATGTTTCTGGAAATGATTAACGAGAAAGAGCTATTTGATTATCAAATTATGAAACACGTAAAATCTGGTTTTCAAGTAGTCCCTTGAAGC